CTGCTCTTCAGTCACAATGGCTACCGGGCACCGGAAGTTTTCACATAGGCTCCGGGCTGCAGTTCAAACGACCTTCCCTTCAGTTCAGTCCTTCGTCTTCAAGCCAGAAATCATGGTGGCAAACACAGCCGCGAGACCGCCCACCCGACAGAACGAGTTCCTTTGACAATGGCTTTGCAGCGGCTAGCAAGAACCAGATCTAGGAAGGTTTATAGTTAAGCTCATGTCGCTTCCCACCGAGTCCACCCAGCCTGCTCTGGGTAGATGACCGCGACTCGGGCTTCCTGTAAAAGCACTGAACTTGCGGTTTGTTCAGGAATCTGGGCCACGACGACGACTGCCGCATTGTCCGCGTTGGTGACTTTGCCAGCAGCTTCCAGAACCACTTGGGCAGCGGCCTGGGGAGACCTTGTTTCCCGCAGGGTTTTGCGTGCTGTGATGAGGGCCAGCTGATCCCTACTTGCCAGCGATGGCATTTGGGACGGGTTGCGCCGCCGTAAGCCATCCCAGATGCCATCGCTTGCAAGTACCAGCAGATCAGGCCGGCCAGCTTCTCCATCCAACGAAGGCTCGTTTGACCTGCAGTTGCCAGTCACAGACATGCATTCCTAGTTGATGCATTCGTGGAGGTGGATGAGGAGCTGAAGCTCGCACTTTTGCAAGAGCCGAAGGCTGCAGGAAGAACTCCAGGAGCCGTGGCTTGTGTGGCCATGGTTGAAGGGACAAGCTTGAGGATCAAGTTTGTCCCTTCAAGCATGGCCACACAAGCCACGCAGCCTTCGGCTCTTGCAAAAGTGCCAGCTTCAACAATCTTCAACACCTGCTCCGCTGCCATGCAGGCAAGTGCCCCAACTTGCTGGGCAGCATCTCCCGGAGCAGTATTGCTGCCCTGTTGCCTCCGTGACCGTCCAGCACGGCATAGCACTACGCAGACACGTAGCTTCAAGCAGCAATGAACAATGCAACGCGACAAGTTCGTGCGCACATATCGTCTAAAGCAAAGAGATGCAACATGCTGCGTCTATCTGTCTTGTCTGTTTCAGAATCTCTCCTAGAATCATATGGCTCTCTGCTTTGTTCTTCTCCAAACACAGACAAGAGCGTGCCACAAGCGCTGCCTCAGCATGCCACTGCGTGAGGTATTCACAGCGAGTTAGCAACTATCGACAGCTCGGCGCGTGCATCGGCACTGCAAACGTGATGGGCTGCAAATCTGCCTTCAACTTTAGCCCGAGTCGAGGCTGACGCGCCTGGTCGACCTGCCAGGCATGCCCGGAAACCTACCATCAGCACCGCCAAAAACACAAAGTGAAATCCAACCTGAAAGTCAACAACGTTCGCTTGAACCCAAAGCCTCCAACCCAACCTGCCTCCCCTCCTCGGGCAGATGGGGCGCACACTCAAAGTCGATAGGTCGTCCACTTACTCTCGGTCTGATGGCTTGAGCTGATATACATGCTGATGGGATATGATGGTCCTGCATGTGTGTGTTATGTGTGTACCTGCGCGCATGGGCATACTTCATACTGTATAAGAGTTCGAAACATTGTCTCAGTAAAGACGACTTCAATGCCCTTGAGAAAGAGCTCCTTGCTCTCTCCGAACATCTTTCTACTCAAACTCCACACACAAGAAGCTTAAGCGTTTCATGCTGTGACTCTCATCGAAGCTGGAGAACGGGAGCATGCCTGTTGGACTTGCGGTAGGCCCTATAGAATCAAAGCCAAAACTCTCTTGGTACTGAGTCGAATCGTATCACTCCTCGCCTTTGCACACCAGCCGCGCGCAGCCCTCCTCTCGAGCTCTTGCAGGAAAACGGCACGCTACAGCGGCATGGTGCGATGGCGCGTGGCAAATTGAAACACAGTGACCGAGAAGAAAGAAGAGAGTGTGCCGTGTCATACTGCGGTTGACAGCACACAAATACACAAAGGCCGAAAACTTGCGCATGTAGCTACAAACAAGGAGGCATGGACACAACCTGTTTCTGATCTAGTGTCTATTTTGCTGCTTTTGATGAGCGCTCGTGATGATGGCAATAACAAGACATGGACCATGGCAACCTTTACGATGGGATGCAGCAACCAAGCACGGAGGGTCTGGATGTAGTGTATAATAACGTATATTGTATAGTATGTTGCTGCATATTACAGTATGTAGTACAGTCTGTTTGAAGTTTTGGTAGACTTTAACAGTATACATTATTTACGTTTCAGTCAACTTCCGCACTGCCCCCGGATCCCCGCTCCTCTCGGAGGAGATCTCGCCACTGCTGGTGTGATCCGGGCTACGCGGAGATTTTCGTAGCCTTCCTCCGCTTCTTGGGTGCACCTGCACAGGCTGTCTACTTGGAGGTTCATGGGACTTAATGGGACTTAATAAGTACAGTTATAAGTACCCTTATATTTAACTGGGGTTATAAGCAATTGTAAGTATAGTTACCTTATTCATAACACTAGTCACTAAGTCCCATGAAGCTTTAAGTATGGGAATGCCAGACCTGTCGCTGGGACAAACACCCCTTCTCGCCGTGATTGCCCACAGAGGAACAAGCCTCCGAAGCTAGGGCGCCCTATTTACAAACCTGTAAGCCCTAAACATGCAAACCCCTGAACCCCTGAAGCCCTAAACCCCACACAATTGCCAAAAACCGTTAAGCCCTCAACCCCGGAACCCTTGTCTGTTCGAAAAATCGTAGCAACACTGACGCTGATACTGTTGCTGTTTGATACTGACAACCATGCCTAAACCCTAAACCCGAAACCCCTAACCCGTGAATTAAGCCCCTAAACCTCTGAACCCCTAAACTCCGTAAACCCCAAACCCTAAACCCTACCTAAACCTCTGAACCCTTAAAATCCGTAAACCCACATGCAGGCCCCGGAAGCCTTTGGGACGAGCCCGCACCGTGCGTCGTGGCGGGCGTGCCGGTGGTGGCAGAAGATCGGGCTCAGGAGCCTAGGGTGGTTGGAGGTATAGGTTTAGGGTTTAGGGTTTAGGGTTTAGGGTTTAGAGTTTAGGGTTTAGGGTTTAGGGTTTAGGGTTTATAGGGCTTATAGGGCTTATAGGGTTTATAGGGTTTAGAGTTATAAGTACCCTTAACTGGGGTTATAAGCAATTATAAGTATAGTTACCTTATTTATAACCCTAGTTACTAAGTCCCATGAACCTTTAAGTTGTACTTTTAGAGTTTAGGTCTTTGGGGTTTAAGGCTTTTGGGTTTAGGGATTGGGGTTTAGGGCTTTTGGGTCTAGGGGTTTAGGGGTTTGGTGTTTTTGGGTTTAGGGGTTGAGGTGTTTAGGGCTTTAAGGGGTTTAGAGCTCAGGAGTTTTAGGGTTTAGGGGTTTATATTATATAAGTCTTCAGGGTATAGGGATTTAGGGTTTAGGTCTTTAGGGTTTAGAGTTTGGGTGGGGTTTCGGGTTCAGGGCTTAGGGCTTATGGCGTGTCTAAGATCTGAGCTTAGCCGCCATCGCCTATTCAGGAGACGAGTTCAAGACGAGGGAACAGCTGGGACCTAATTAAACCTTCAACCTTCGAACTTGGAAACTTCGACACGCTTCAAACATTCAACTTTTCAAAACATTCAACCCTTCCAACCCTCGAGATTCGATGCCGGTCAAACGTTCAATGCCTAAAGGCTCCATTATAGCTCCTTATTGCGGTTATAGCTCCTTTTTGTGGTTTATATCTAGCATCCTATAAGGTAAGCCTAGAAAGGAACTACAACGGAGCCTAGATGGGTATGTTCAAGCTTTCCTAAACCCTAACCCAAGCTCTCGAACTTTGACACTTTCGATATGGGAGTTTCAGAAAATTAGGGTACCGTCTTTTGGGGTCCTTATAATATGGATCCTAATAATTAGGGCAATTAGGGTACTATACTAGGGTCCCCTATTTTCGGAAACCCCCATGTTTCAGACTCTCGACCTCGGCGGCGAGCCACGAGTCGAACTTGGAGCGGGCCGAAACTCATAATATAGGGGCCTTCATGATTAGACTGGGGTTTTGGGGGGTTCCTTATCATAACTATATCTTACTGGCTGTTAAGCGG